TTCCCCGTGGATTTCCCTATTACGGCTTCTGAAATTAACATGCCCCTTCCGGAAAAGGGGCCAGTGTAGACGTAGCCCTAGTGTCTTATCACTAGCTGTTAGAAATACTTGCTACTTAGCAGTCACAGATCAGTTGCATGCCATTGTAGTGCACTCATCATATCATACCCTCCATAAATTTATCAAGCTCAGTCTTAAAGCCAGTTAGGTTACCAAGTCCCTCCCCTTTGAAGGCTCTTTCAGAATTTCAGTCTTCTGATAGAAGTGTTAATAATATCAAGACTAAACTTGATGATCAGTTTATATAAGTTCTTATGTCGGCATTGGGGCTGAACTTAAATACCCCCTCCCTGATATTTATTTCTCTGATGTATTTGTAGAGAACAATCATATCTCAACTCAGCCTTCTAGTTAGGCTAAAGAGTTTGAAACTTGATAAAGCATATATGTAAATGTAAACAATTTTCACACAAAAGGAGTTATTAGTGACTTGGTTATTTTAACTTCTGTTTGTTAATTTTTAGTAAAATCAGGTATGTTCAGACTCATCAAGGCAACTGATAATAAAAATTATGACTTGAATATACTTTTTATGTCAGATACATGTTCTACACCATTTGAATGCGTCGGGGACTTCACTTCTCATTACAGTTGAACTGACATCTTTCACAAATACAAAATCTGCTTTAAAAATGTGAATAAAAAAAATCCTTCCTTAGGAAAAATATACAGTTATATTTCATTATTTCCATCACTAATTTTACTAGCAAGATTCTCTTCCATAAAACCAAATTTCTACTCCATGACTTCTCCCTCTTCTCCAAAATGTCATAATTAACAGGATGGAAGAATATTTTAACTTAATTCTTCACTATGGCCCATGTAATAAAAAGCTGAGTTTATACTATTACTGTATAATTTAACTCCCCTGTGTAGTAATTATGTGATGTCTTTTGAAAAACGGATACTTGTTTAGATCTTTGTGTTAATTAACTATTTTAACATAATTTATATGAAGCCTTAGCAACCACACATTGTTTCACATAAGTATAATATGCAAACAAATTAATAGAAAAATCCACCATATATTACGTAACTCACAATAGGTTGACAAGCTACCACAGCTGTTATCAAGAGTAAATTAACAGCCAAGTTATGGAAGTGAAGTACACTGTACCCTTCCTTTTCTCCTCCTCTTTCTCATGCACCCAAAATATTATCATTTATAAGGGAATAGTGCCCAAAATGCTGGTCAGAATTGGGACCTTATTGTGCTTGCTATTATGGAAGATATGATTCTTTCTCCATAATGTTTACAATCATAAAGGATAATCAAACCATAAATAGGGAGAGAAGAGATGACGGACTATTACATACAAGTGAAATAATCAGTAATATGGTAGGCACACTACTTGTTAGTTTCTTATTTTCTTTTTCCTTTTTTTTCATTTGTCTTTATTAGAGGGTAGGGAAAACAGCAGCTGGAGATGAATAAATATAGTGAAAGAGGGGTAGGGATGCAGAGTGAAGAGGGGAAGGAAGGAGCAGCAGAAAGCAGGCAAGGAGGGTGAGGCTGCTAATGGAAAGACTGCGAGGGAATGGGGTTGGAACAGGTTGTACCCAGAACTAGACAATAATGTCCAGAGTTCCTATTGTAAATATTATTTTGATACTTTTATTAGCTGTAAAGATCAGGAGAGAGTGGATAGGGGTAGGGATGCAGAGTGAAGAGGGGAAGGAAGGAGCAGCAGAAAGCAGGCAAGGAGGGTGAGGCTGCTAATGGAAAGACTGCGAGGGAATGGGGTTGGAACAGGTTGTACCCAGAACTAGACAATAATGTCCAGAGTTCCTATTGTAAATATTATTTTGATACTTTTATTAGCTGTAAAGATCAGGAGAGAGTGGATAGGAGATTCCCTCCCCCGCCTCATCTCTCTAGCACCTACCGCTGTCCGACTGTTCCAGGCCATATTGTTATTGAATTCCCTGTAGCTCATTTGAACTGTTTGTGCACCCAGTAGATGCTGTTCTGCTTTGAATGACACAAATCTAGAACTCTGGCGTACAGTCAGCGGGAGCAGATTGCATTGGCTGAGGCCCTCCATTAAGAAAAATCCATTGATACTCCTGGAGAGTTACAAGCCAGGATCTACAGCAGGAGCATGCAAGCTGCTGCTAACATTGAGTTGAGGGAGGTCTTAGGATAGGCAGCATTTTTTAAAACGGCCAGCACCTTGAATTGCACTTAGTTTTAGATGTTCATAGTCATTCTCAGCTTTATAGGTTATCACAACCATAGATGCCATCTTTATGACTTATTGAGGGTTGTTCAACTCCCCAATATTGCTTTTGCTTTGCCTTTTCCTACCTTGTTCTGCCCCTGCCTCAGACATACCCTGCCCTTGCTCCTCCCTCCCACAACACCTCCTGCACAAGCTGAAGACACTAGGGAAGGGGAAGCAGGTCATATGGGGAGCACTCACTGAACACCAAAGTGCCCACAGAACTAGCGCCTATGGTTACAACTGAAGGAGATCTGCACTCTTGACTTTTCAATATATTGCACTTTCTATCACATACCAGACCATAAGAAGAGCTTTACATGAAACTAATTCCTCTGTAACTAGCAACTAAAAACTAGTCGAATTTGGGTTGTGTTACAAAAATATTGTGTATTTTTAATGTTTGTCTCCTCTTACTATTCTTATCGTACTCCCTGAATCTGAATTGTATGAATTAAGGCTGGACTCATGATAAGTTTTCATTTCTTGGCTTTTATTTGTTTCACAGTGATCAATGTTTAAATTTTTTCTTCATAAGTCATATTGTTGCTATTGCCATATATGTGAAAGCTCATATTCACGGAGAATTGTACCAAGACTCCACTGTAATTGAAATGAGTCATTTGTGATTGAGGGGATAAAAGTTAATCAGGCACTGCCCCTGTGGAGAATCTGCACGCTTATTTCTGGAACAGAAATAAACAAATGTTATGTTTGGAGAGATGGAGAGTGAAGGGTAGTGAGAGGAAGAGTATCATTTTTCTAAACTATCTTCCTTCTTGAAATTTGATTATGCATCTCCTGTTTAATAAAATGGCATGTTATTGCACTGCAGGTCCCACCCTAAAAATGTTTTCATTTACAGTTTAGAGATTACTTTTCTGTATATATTCTGGATATTTTAATCAGTTTGAAATATTTTCATTATTTTATACAAGAAAAAATTCATACAAGCACTTCAGTTTTTTGCCAGATGGCTAATTTGAAAATAAAACTTTAGCACCACCTCATGGTATTGTGAAGTTTTGCAGACATCTTCATTATTCCGATATACTGGCCCATATATAGCCCCGCCGGCCCTCCAACCTTCAGTTCCTTCTTACCACCCCTGAGGATCATTGGGACGTGCTTCTGCTCTTGCTTAGCAAATGCTCCTTTGTAGCTTAGTTTTACAATTCTTTGTTCTAGTGTTATAGTTACGGTTATCAAGTTCTTGATAAGTAGTTTCCTAAGTTAAGGACCCACCGTAGTCCCTGCCCCGCACTCTCGGTGTGAGCGGTGGGGCATGCCCGGATTGAAAGACTTCAAGCCCTGAGAGACGTGCCAGAGACCTATGCCCTGTGGCAACCCACACTTTGCCTGCCTTAAGTGTCTGGGTAAGGCCCATTTGTCCGAAGCCTGTAAAATTTGCAAAGCATTCAAGCCGCGCACAAAGCGGGAGGGAGAATCGCGTCTTAAGATCATCATAATGGAAGCAGCTTTGCGGCCGGCACCGGCTTCTCACCTGGCACTGGCGACCCAGAGCACACCAGCCTTCGTGCAAAAGGCGTCGAGCCATTTGCGGGCCTTGCCGGCACTGCCTAAACCATGACACTGCTCTCAATCCCCAGTGCCTCAGAAGAGCAGGTCTGGCGGGGGAAGATCATCCTCTGCCCCGCCAGCCCATGCCCTCAGATGGGGCACGCAGCATATTCAGGCTCTGCCTGGACCTTCTTGGTTGGGCAAATGTTCCAGTCTGCACCAGGACTGCAGCCCGATGGGAGATTTCCCAGAGCCTTCGACACTGGAGGCCTTCGACGCTGCTAGGGACCTTATCGAGTTGTTCCCCTCTTCTCCGGCACCGACCTCAGCCAAGGACCGGGACTCCAGTCAGCACCGATCGGAGCTAAGACACCCAGAGTCCTGGCACCAGAGTCGAGAAAACACAGGTCCAGCACTGCCACACCAGCAGCACCTCCAGCCCATGCTTCTCACTGTTCTCTGTGCCGGGACAAGGGCCTCAAACAGCACCGAGCATGGCATCAGCTACTGCACATTCTGGTCCCAACTAAAGCTCACCAGGCCCGGCACCGACCATGCCTCCCCCTCCTCCTTGCCCACACTGGGACATGCCCCGACATCAAGGCAACTGGCTGTATCCGCCTCTGCACCACCATGGTTAGCTTCAGAGTATTCGACTGACTCAGAGGTGGAATCCACGTGGTGCTCCAGGGGATCAAGATCAAAATCTCAGCACCAGTCTCATTCCCGTCACCGGTCGTAGCACTGTAGCACTTCCGCCCATCAACAGCAGTATCATTGGGCACAGCCAGCCCCTGTACTGGGGATGCAGTAGTCATGGCTCCCACTGGCACCACCTCCATCTCAGTGGCCCTTCTGGACCCTGTGGGCTTACCACCAGAGTCAGGGTGTGGCCCCCCTAGACGGGAGTCATTCTTCTCTGTGTCCAGAGCTTCTCCTTCGGCGACCCCACTTACTCGATCACCTACATCAGAGCAATCGCTTTCACCAGGCCAGACATCCCCATACCCTTCGGAGTCTGAGGGCCCCATGACCTGGCCACTCACAATGCTCCAGTTGATGGCTTCGCAAGCTCCCTCGCAGGCAGTGGACCCTGTGGAGGTGGGCTCAAAGGGGTCCTCATCCTCCTCTCCAGATGAGGCCCTGGGCATGTCTCCATGGACTTGAGGTGCATCAGGACCTCCTTTGCCGACTGGCCCAAAGCCTGGGGATCCAGGCGGAGAGGGTGTTAGAGGATTCTGACTCTACGGTTGACATTCTACAGTCAGACACCCCCACCAGAGTGGCCTTCTCCATCAACAAAATGATGGCAAAGATCTCCAAGTCCCTCTGGCAAACTCCGGCCTCCATTCTACCAACAGACGAGAGTTGAACAGTGGTACTTCATGGCCCTGGAGGGGAACCTGGGTCACTGGTGGATTTGGCAGTGAACCAAAGGAAGAGGCACTGTCAGCCAGGCACCACCCTTAAGAACAGGGATGCCAAAAAGATGGCTCTGTTAGGGAGGAAGGCCTACACGTCCGGAGGCCTACAGCTTCTCATAGTGAACCAGCTGGTTTTGCTATCTTGCTACGTGTGTAACACCTGGATTTCCTTGGACAAGTTTAATGAACTCCTCTTGAGGGATTCTCAGCCCAAGTTCAGAGCCCTCTCAGAAGAGGGCAGAACAATCTCTAAGGCTGTGTTCTAGGCTGCCTTAGATGCATCCGATGCGGCTGCTTGTGCTATGGCTACTGGGTTAGTGTTATGCCGCAGCTCTTGGCTGCAAGGGTCTGGGGTACCTCTGCAGCTCCAAAATACGATCCAAGATCTTCCATTCGAGGGCCTGTCTCCGTTTTCTGAACAGACAGACCAGCACGTATACGGGCTGAAGGACACCCAGGTTACGCTAAAGTCACTGGGCATTCACACCCCTGTCACCCAGCGGCAATCCTCCTTGGGCAGGAACTCTCCAATGCCTTCCCAGCAGGGCTCTTGCCCTGATTTCTCCCAACAATGGGAGGAACGGCAGGCGCCGTCCTCAGCTGTGCCAGGATCAGGCACAGGGCCCACCTAACAAGTCCTCGGGGCCCTGTCAAGGCTTCTGAGAGTACGCCTGAAGACAGCTTACCAGTCTCATCTCTCCCCTTCCAGGATCATCTATTCCCTTTCTGCTAAGCCTGGGAATATGTTACCTCGGACCATTGGGTCCTATAGACAGTGGGAAGGGGCTATGTCATCCCCTTCCACTCTGCTCCTCCTTCACATCCCCCTACCCCGTCCCTCTTTAGGGATCCCTCTCACGAGCTTCTCCTTCAGGAGGAGGTCCTTCAGCTCCTCGCTCTAGGGATTACAGCGCCGGTTCCCCCAGGAGTCCTGGGCAGGGGCTTCTATTCCCAATATTTCCTGGTCCCGAAAGCCAAGTGGGGTGTGAGGGGCGGGGATGTTTCTGTCCTATCCTGGTCCTCAGGGATCTCAATGCCTTCATCATCAAACCCAAATTCAAGATGGTGGCCCTGGCATCTATCATTTCATCCCTAGCTCTCAGAGACTGGTACACTGTCCTCGATCTAAAAGATGCCTACTTTCACATTTCCATTGCTCCACACCACTGACGATTCCTCTGCTTCATGGTGGGCAGAGACCACTATCAGTTTATGGCCCTCCCCTTTGGGATTTCCACGGTCCCCCGGGTCTTCACAAAGTGCACGACCCTTGTGGCTGCCGCCCTTGAGGAAAAAGAGTCCAGGTGTTCACCTATCTGGACGACTGGCTCCTGCAAGGGAGCTCTGCAAACCAGGTGCAGGCCCACATCACCCTGGTTCAGGATCTCTTCCGGGAGTTGGGCTTACTCCTGAATGTGGACAAATCATCTTTGGTACCCACTCCAGTGATAGAGTTCATGAGTGCTAATCTGGATTCCACATCCGCAAGAGCCTCCCTCTCCAGGTCCTACTTCCTGATGATCAAGTCAGCTGTCCAGGATCTGCAGGCATTTCTGATAACTACAGCCAGGACTTGCATGCGGCTCCTGGGTCTAATGGCCGCATGCACATATGTCACCCAACATGCCATACTCCACATGCGACCACTACAGATGTGGCTGGCATGCACTCATAACCCATCCTTTCACCAGTGGGAGAGAGTGGTGACCGTGCCCTCAGAGGTCCTTCAATCCGTAGATTGGTGGACCTGGGAGGGGAAGTCTGCACCGGGTTACCATTCTCCGGGCCCTTACTGACCCTCCAGCTGGTGATAGACGTGTCGGACACAGGCTGGGGAGCCCACCCTGGCGACATACAGACACAAGATATGTGGACTGTGGACAATCTCTCTCAGCACATCAATAACAGGGGAACCATGGGCAGTCTGCCTTGCTTGCGCGGCCTTCCTCCCTCGACTCAGGGGCAAGTCGGTGCTCATCCTATCCGACAATATGTTGGTGGTCTCATATATCAACAGGCAGGGTGGAGCCCGCTCACGTCACTTGTGTCAGGAAGCCCTACACATGTAGGATCTCTTAATCAGGGTGGATATCCACCCAATGACCTCCTATCTCCCAGGCTCCCAGAACGATCTGGCGGATTGGCTGAGCAGATCCTTCTCCGGTCACAAATGGTCTCAGATGGGACGTGGCTGCTTGGATCTTCTGCAAATGTGGTTTTCCCCTTTTGGACCTGTTCGCCAGACTACAGAAAAGGAAATGCCAGAAGTTCTGCTCCCTCGTGGGAATGGGGCAGGGCTCTTGGGGAGATGAGTTAGTCATTCCATGGCCCGGGGGTCTGCTTTATGCGTTCCCGCCATTTGCATTAGTCCACAGAGTGCTGCTGGGGGTGCGGGAATTCAGGGCATCCCTGATCCTCATAGCCCCAGCATGGTCCAGACAGCATTGGTTCTCGATCCTCCTGAGTGTGTCATGCAAGAGACCAATAGCTCTCCCTATGGTACCGGACTTGATTACGCAGGATGGCGGCAAGCTTCGGCACGTGGACCTGTGCCCCCTGCATCTCACGGTGTGGAAGCTTTGTGGCTGACGGTGGCGGAGCTTCAGTGTTCAGCTCAGGTGCAGGAGGTGCTGTTGGGTAGTAGGAAGCCTTCTACCAGGGCTACCTATTTAGCCAAATGGAAGCGGTTTTATATCTGGACTACTCAAAGAGGATTTTTGGCTGTAGATGCCCCAGTTCCCTGGATCCTGGACTACCTTTTGGACCTCAGGTTGCAAGGGTTGTCATCCCCCTCGATTAAGATCCACCTAGCGGCTATTTCCGCTTTCTATCTGGGCACTAAGAAAGCGGAAATAGCCGCTAGGTGGATCTATCTGGGCACTTAGGGGCAAGACCTTTTTTGCGGACCCAATGGTGAACAGATTCTTGAAGGGCCTGGAGAGGCTTTACCTGCATGGCAGGCAACCGTTGCACAGTGGGATCTCAACCTGGTCCTGTCTAAGCTTCTGAGACCCCCATTTGAACCTTTGGTGACTTGTTCCTTATTACACTTGTCCTATAATATCCCTCTTGGTGGCCATCACATCAGCCAGACGTGTCCAAACTGGAGCCCTCATGGTGGAACCCCCATATACAGTTTTCTTCAAAGACAAAGTCAGGTTGTGCTCCCACCCTGCCTTTTTGCTGAAAGTAGTGTCCATGTGTTGCAAGACCTCTTCCTACCAGTTTTTTACCCCCCAAGCCCCATGCATCGGGTAAGGAACAGGCACGACATACTTTGGACATTCAGAGGGCTCTAGCTTTTTATTTAGAAAGAACAAAAGCCCTTCCGCAGGTCACCTCAGCTCTTATTTGCCATAGGAGAGCAGATGAAAGGCCAGCCGGTTTCGGCACAAAGGATCTCCTCTTGGATCACAGCCTGCATTAGGAAGCCTTACGGGATGGCTGGGATTCCAGACACTCCCCTCACGGCCCACTCAACTAGAGCTCAGGCCTTCTCCGCAGCTTTTCTGGCTCTGGTCCCTATCCTTAACTGAGGGGGTGCAGGGCTGTCACATGGTCCTCTATCCTTCGCTTACCATTATGCATCAGGCAAGGGGGGGATGCTGCCCTGGGTAGGGCGGTCCTCTACTCAGTGGAAGGATAGAACTCTGACCCCACCTCCTCTACTCAGTGGAAGGTTAGAACTCTGACCCCACGTCCTTCGATTACTGCTTTGGAGTCACCTACATAGAATGGGCATGAGAAATCACTCGAAGAAGAAAGAATGGTTACTTACTTTGTAACTGTGGTTCTTCGAGATGTGTTGCTCATGTCCATTCCAAATCCTGCCCACCTCCCCTTCTTTGGAGTAGTCCGGTAAGAAGGAACTGAGGGGGTGGAGGGCCAGCAGGGGTATATATGGGCTGGTATACCGGCGCCACTCCAGGGGGCTCCCCCGCTGGCCCAATGGGTGCTGCTAGGGGAAAAGTTTTCGATGACGCGTGCATGCTGCATGCGCACACCTACATGGAATGGACATGAGCAACATATCTCAAAGAACCACAGTTACGAGGTAAGTAACCATTCTTTTCAATTCAAAACAGTTTTGTTTGAAATTTCTCCTTCAGAGCATTCTGAATGCCAGGGTTTTGTTCAGATTGGAAATTAAGCCAAATTTAAAAATCTTCTTGGAGTAGTTGCATATGTGCATTCCACTTGTCATGTTTGTTCACGCCACTTGGTTGTTGGAAATTTTTCCCTCAGTGAAACCTATTGGGGTGACTCAAGTTCAAGCAGCCATGCCACTCTGGGCACCAATATAAAGAGCCCAGCTGACTGTAAGCCCCTTCCATTTCAGCTGTGTCTGACAGAGAAGATGTGACTGGCTGAGAGAGACTAAAACTACTTCTCGTGCTGCTCCCAATCAGGAAAGCTTCTACTAGATTGACTTAGACAGCTGAAGAGAAAAAGGTTTTCTATTTGGGAATCTCAGCACCAGCCGGTTCCCTTTCTCAACACCGTTTAGTACTATTAATTAACTCTGAAACAATCTGGATTTTGCATTAATTCCATAAGAGCCCATTGATAGCAATATCTGCATGTTGCTCTCCTCTTCAGAGATAGCCTCATTGTATTTTTTCGCCCTCTAGTGCCTAGATTCCTAAAAGGCTTTTCTTCATGGTTTTCTTCTAGTTCAATAGTCTTCTCCCTTTTGGGACCATAGTATAGTAATAATAACTTTGATCTCTCATTTGAGCCCTTAGCAAGTTGTTTACTATATCATCTGTCAGTGAAGACCGTCTTTTCACGAGCCATTGCCTCAGTTTGAAAAAGAAGGGTGATTTGTTATGCTTGAATGAAGCACACAGGATCTTTTTCAGGGTAGTATATGCATTTACTCACGCACCCTGCTGATGGAATAGTTACCAGTCTGTTGCTCGGCCCAATGTATTGGCCAGATAGGTCAGGTGCGAGGAAGGAGCCAGGTTCTTGTCAGTCCAGACTGATGCTCCATAGTCTTAGCAGGTGGAGAACCTGACGGACATATAAGACATCCCATCCTTTATAGGATTTTCCTTCCATGCAAGTCTATGCATTTGGCCTTGTCAGGCTTTAATCAGTCATTCAGCGTCACAATCAGTTTTTCTGCGACATATGTTTACCTGGAGGTTGTTTTCTCAGTTATTTGATATCAATATGCTGATGACCCCTCCTGGCTGTTGTCTTCTGGTGAAACTTGTTATTGCTTCCCTATCAAGGGGTGCTTGCCACTAACTTCAGGGTTCGTCAATCTGCCTCGATCCAGTTTGCGTCTTCAGTGTGCTTTAACTTATTTGATAATTATTTAGTGCTTCTGAGTCTCCGGCCTCTCCTCTGACCATTTGAGCATGCAGTGGCCTTCACACTTCTCTCCTAAAATATTCTCTTTCTCATTCACACAAATAATACATTTACACAATTGCAGCATGGAATAAAGGGGTACTTCTGGTCACTTTAACAAAGTTACAAAGTCTTTCAACATTAAACTTTTTTCTATCTATTACCAGGCCTTACCTAATATTAACATCACTATGCATTATAATATTCCATCCTTTCACTTTAACATCAGAACATGCTAACATCAAACAAAGCTGGAGCTAAGTTAACAAAGTTGCCTGGTCTGTCTGACGCCTACATCTTGTGTTTAAGTTTAATCCAAACCTTTTGCTATAACATACATTCATTATAACTAACTGACTTATTACTTACACAATTACAAGGCTACAGTTTCAGGCCCTTATGTCAGATTCCCCCATACATGATTTTCTAAGGACAAGTTTGCTCTCAGGCCTCTTGCCAACTCTGTATGAAAATTCCAGAGGAACCAGTTTACAGACGCTCCCTGAGTTGCGAACGGTCGAGTTATGACAGTTTGTACTTAAGACCAAAGCTCCCATGGAGCGGTTGTAAAGGTGGTCCCCGAGTTACAAACGCGACGCGTGCTTACAAACAGCGCGGTCGCGTGTAACTCAGTGGGGTCCAAGTTACGAACAGTTCGAGTTACGGACCAAGTGTTGGTCTGTAACTTGTTCGTAACTCGGAGAGTGGCTGTATTCATTTCCCAATTTTCTTCCAAAAGCCTCACTGAACCCTGGGGAAGCTAAGCTATGTACACTAGTTGTAATAAGGGCATTGGCATTAACTAAACAGGGCAAAATCATTCAAGATTACACTTAGACTGAGGCCTTTGCTGATAAGATTACAGATCAGTTAGTATTTTCACAGATGTTTATCACTTTATAAGAACATGTTAAGATTGAGATCCACTACCAATATTATAGCTCATTTCACTACAGGTTGGACCTCTATAGTCAATATTTCTATAGTCCGACAACGTTTGTGGTCCAGCACCCTTATGTGAGTACTCTTGGGTTGGGAAAGCCAGGCCTCCCATTCAAGCAACTCATCCCTCACCCCACCAGAGCTTCCCAGAGCACCGCAAATAGCTTGTTTGCAGGGTTTAAGCTCATGGAGGGAGGCGAAAAAAGTGGAGATGTGGGGGGACGCCTTGTTTTTTCCCCTAATCATGTCTTCCCTGTCAGTACTTGATCAATGCTGGCCCTTCTGGTAGTGGTAGAGTGGAACTGTGCAGCCAGCGGCAGCTGAGGGTCTGGCCTTGCCCTTCCCAGGTCTAGGAGGTTCATAGATTCAGGATCAGTCAGATCCTAAGAGTGATCAGGCCTGCATGCAGGAATGTCTGTGGGTAGGTGTGTGCTTTTTTGGTAAATGTGGACCACGATTTTTTTAAAACGTAAGGGCGTTCAAAATAGTCAAGGTTTTCTTTTTGATCTATAAACACTTAAATGATTTAGGACCATGCCTGTCATGTGAGATATTGCACTAGAGGCCCTTACCTGGAGCTCTCTCTATTTTTAGGGGAGAGAGTTGTTCTGATCTTTCTCTGTGAGTTTTCTGTCAACTTTGGAAATCATTCTGTAGCCCATCCAGAGCAACCTACATTTATTGACTTATGAAGCCTTTCTGTTTGCTCAGGCTTTTGGAAAGGACTGGATTGCATTCAGGGTTGGGGGTTTTGGCATGGATATTCTTGGCAGACAGGTGGGATACTTTCTTCATTGGCTGGCTGATGTAATTTTTACTGTTACACAGGCTGACTTAACCTGCTGGACTATTAATTACATGAATAGATTGATTTCCCTTTATCCTAGTTCCCATTAAAAACATTGTCAGAGTCTCTCAAGTCATGGATTATATAAATTAGTATAAAATATACTGATATTTGTATAGATCTCATTTTAAAAATGACAATAAAATTTGTGTAACAAATAGGTAGCGGCTTGTTGCAATCATATTCACGTTTTGAAACTACAAATCCTTTTCTTTTCCCCCTTTGGAACAGAAATGCTGGCTTGGGTGTCTGTTCAATGACTTGCAGATTTGGTGGTATTTTGGCTCCATTTGTGCCATCCATGGTCAGTTAACTTTCTATATTATTTGTGTTAATTACTGACACTTTTTTTCCTAAGACTTGTAGTTTCTTGGAGTAATCTCAGAATTGATTTCCTGATTCTGGTATGGCAGGTGGATCTTTGACAAGGGATTTTTATATACCGCTGCAAATTTATAATTAAATAAAATTTAATTATATTGATATAATCAAATTGCAGTCTTAACTTATAAGAGACAGTGTATTTGTTGTGTGTTTTGGGGTGGTGGGTTTTTTGTTTTTACAAAATGGAATTTCTTTTTATAAAACTTTATTACTTTGAGACGGAAGCAAATTAACATTATATCTCTTTTAGATTAAGTGAAGTATTTCATATTTATTTGTTGCTGCTGCTCTTTATAAACAAATTTTGTATTGATATCTACTTGAATGCTCTTTGACTTTCAAATATTCATAATGGAGATTTTGATACGAATAATTGCTTGTATAGTGAGTGTTTGGTCCATTCGTTTCTTGATGTATTTCTAAGTAATTACTATTGTTCTTAATAGATATTACATACATGAATGCTGTGAAGATTCATCTTTTGGTATAACTTATATGTATATAATTAATTGAAATATATATATGAAAGATGATCAAAAGCTGCACTATTTTTGGAAATATTCTGGGGCATGGATTAAGTTTGGGTTTTTATAATTGATTTTTCATTTCAGAAATCTTTTAACCCATCTGTGCCATTCATGGTGTTTGGAATCAGTGGAGTGTCAGCAGGATTCTTGACTCTTCTTCTTCCGGAAACTCTTAATAAGCCAATTGCAGAGAGCATTGAAGACCTTCAGAGTCCTATATACCAAATGCTTAAAAACAAAAAGGCAGAGTAAAACATTTTTTTTTAATTTATTTTTTCTTTAAAGCAGTTTCCATTTATCTTACACAAGTCACACTGTAGTACACATTTCTAAGTTATTTAACTTGGGCATGAGTCTTACATTTCTGTTTTTTCTTTAATCATAACATCCTTACTCTGTGTTTGTTAAATAGGGCTTAAAAAAAGATGATTGTATGTCAAAGAAGAAAGCTTTAAAATAAATTTTATTTTGGTCATTTTCATCTATGCATACAATACAGCACATAAGCCTTAGTGCATTTTTGTTATTGTTGAATGCAATTTTAAAAAGTAACCTGAAATTGTCATAGGTGATACTGTGGATAACATAGCTTGTACTTCTGCAGTAGTAATTGTCTTATATATTGCATTGTATCTTTTTTATTTGTTAAATCTCTTACTAAAATGGAACATTTAAAAAATTTATGGTACTTGAAGAGAGTGTTTAATCTTTTATTGATATCTACCTCATTGTTAGACGCCATCTGAAACACTATCCTTTAATGGATGAATGTCTAATAAAACTCTTGAACCTGAAAAGTAAATAAGTTTTGTCTAGTTAATGGTAGTTTAAAAAATACCACTAGGACAATTTGAAAAGAAATACCGTAGCTTTAGTTTTTCACTGAAATCTATTGCTTCAGTGAACAGTATAGTGACTTCAAGCAAATTGCTGGCGTTTGCATAAAGTTTCCTCAAAAGATGCAGCAAGCATCAGTCTTTCACTGTTATACTGTAGACATTTTTTTAAAAATCCCTTCAATTCTGTATTTAACACAAACTTTACTGTGATGACTCAAAACTTAATTATCTCATGATGTAGAATGTGCATATGTCAACCTACTCAGATTAATATGAATGGTAGCAACCAATGTCAACCCATGTTGCCTGAAAATAATTGTCATTAACACACTAACAAATGAATGAGTTTTGTAAGTTATGTCAATTACTGTACTAAAGAATTAATGATTTTTAAGTAATTAAGTCAATATATACTTAATGTAAGTCTGATATATTATGGTGCTGAACGCAGTTGATATGAAAAGAAATTGAAACAGTCTCTTATATTTGGATAGTTTATCCTTTTTAATTTCACTTCAGTTTTTAATTATGTTGATCAACTGAATATATGCCGAATTCCCCATCTGAGATTAACCTATGAAAATCAGACAAAATTGTTTTAATAATTTATATTTAATCTATTTAACAGGTAAACCAATTAGAAGAAAACACTTAAAGCTCAAAACCCCCCACATCCTTTTGGTGAAAAATCAAGCATCTTTTGGTAAAGTGCTTTCATATTGAAGGTGTGGAGCCACTGAGATCCCAGAATGGAAATGTAAAGGGGTATAAAGTTTAATGCCACTTCCAATATGTTGAACAGTTCATTTTTATGTGGAGGTCATTTGAGAAGATGGAAAAAAATGCCAAAATTTGTGAAAAAAGAATGTCAAATCTATGCATTAATTCAATGTCTTAATTAACCAGAAATGTTTAGGCACAGAATATACAGGGTTTTTTTTTTAAAAAAAATGCAGTATTCCATTATTGTGTTTTGCAATTGCTAGTTGTGAATTGAAATGATAAAAAATGAGGTAGTATGTAACAATATAGTGTTTTTTACAAGAGCCATCTGATTGGAAGGTTGCAGGGCAGGTTAGTATATTCAGCCATGTGATAAATTGTTGAAATAATTGTACCCTATGCATGCTAATATACTCAACAGAATTTTTCTTTTTTAATGTGCTTTAAACTACTTGTCTTTGTCTCTCAATACAAAAAGACCAAAGATTTTTTTATAGATTTTTAACATTAATATAAATAATGAGAGATAATCATACTGCTCAGGAAATTTCAAAGAGAAGTAAATTAAGTTTGATGCCAGATATGATAGTTTTTTAAATAAGATCCAGTTTAACAATAAAGAAATTTAACAAGAAAAATTACAACATTGAAAGGACTAATATTAGCTCTTGGTAGACTAGAGGTACATTTAAAAGATAGAGTAAATTAATATTGAACATTGTTAAATATTAATTCAAAAGATGTAATAAACCACTAGCTAAATCTAGCTATAATTGCAGAACTAGAAGAAAATACAGGCAGTCCCCGAGTTACGCGGATCCGACTTATGTCGGATCCGCACTTACGAACGAGGTTTTCTCGCCCCGGAGCTCGCAGGCAGCGGGACTGCCACCTCGACCTCTGGGGCTATAAAAGCTGCTCCGGGTGCCCCTGGCGGGTGCCCCTGGTCTGCTGGGGACCGTCTCCAGCAGACCAGGGACACAGGGAGCAAAGCTGCAGCGGCGGCAGGGTCCCGCGCCTCTGAGGCTTTGCCAGAGCAAAGCCTCAGAGGTGCGGCACCCCACCGCGGCTGCGGCTTTGCTCCCCGTGTCCCTGGTCTGCGGGGAGGGGAGGGGGAAGGGGGCGCAGCTAATGCACCCCCCCACCCCGAGCAGACCAGGCTTTTGTTGTGGACCCTGGGGTAGAGCAGCTGGGGTGCTGCCGGGTTGGTCCTGCAGGGACCTACCTGGCAGCCCAGCTGTTCTGTCCCAAGCTCGAGATTCAGCCGCTGTTGAAACTGATCAGTGGCTGATTCCAGGGAGCTAGGGACAGAGCAATTCTGCCTCCAGCTTCCTGTAGTCAGCCCCTGGTCAGTTTCAGCAGCTGCGACTGAATCTGGAGCCAGTTCCGACTTACATACAAATTCAACTTAAGAACAAACCTATAGTCCCTATCTTGTACGTAACCCGGGGACTGCCTGTAATAAAAAAATGTATCAAATACAATATATAATCAAAATTATTATTTCAGGAGAATTGGAAATATCTGCAATAGAGAAATAAGTTCAATAGATTTCACTTAACAGTTAAAATATTTATTTTGGAATAGATATATCATAGTTGTTATGGTTGTTTGGCCAAAACCATATTGTAATTAAATAAAAATAATAAATATAAAATTAGCGTCTCTTTACATGTACATTTGTCATGCTCTTATAAGGCTATTTCCTATTATTTGACTTTTTCCTTTTGATAAATGCATCTGGTAGGAAAAGCTTAGGGATAAGCCACCACATTTTGATATAATTGTCATATTTAGACTATGAACCCTGGTCTACACTAGGACCATATTCTGAAATAACCCGTCCCCCCATTTCCTCCAGTTTGAATTTATAAGTGGTGTGACAACAGAGCGCAGAATTCAAACTCTGTACTCCTACTTTTCATGTGGAATAACTCTAATTCTGAAATAGTAATTTCAAAATAATCTTAGTGTGGCTGATCTGGTTCTGCTAATTTGAACTTATTGGCCCCTGGGAGGTATCCTGCTGCTCCCCTGCGTGCTTCCTGGGGCTCTAAGTCCTAGGTAGTGTCTCCACATTAATGGAGCCTGCCATGGACTAATTTCAATGCTTCTCCATAGTGAGGACAAGCTAGTTCAAATTGGGAGTTCTTAAGTTGAATTTAGTAATTTCAAAATAGTTTCTGTCTAGACATGGCCTGAGCCTGCAACTGAGTCGTGGAACTCTGTGGAACCCTAATGAAGTCAGAAGTGTCTGCGGGTGCACAAAAGTCCATCTGTATATTGTAAATTCCATGATTGAGTCCTTAAATTGTATAAAATTATTTAAAACCACAAAATACAGTTTGCAGAAAAAGATGATTTTAGATTGCATGAAATGTTTATACATGTGCATTTATTTTAAGTCCGGTGCCAAAGTTTAAAGTAATACAGTGTGCAGAATTCTAACTTTCATATATTTATTTAGTTGCTTTGTTACATTTTTGTGGGCTAGAACTCAGCTGATGAAAGAGTTATGGTAGTCTCTTACCTTCCTTTAATATTCATAACCACATCAACGGGAGGACACATCTTCAAAGAATAATTATATCATCAAGGAAATGGTAAAGATGAACTTGTTTGTCAATTTAGAACTTTTTATTATGGAAAGCTTTGATTTTGTTTAGAAGCAGAAGTAATACCCTGAGACAGAATATGCCTAAATACATCATTGTATGGTGAATGTCTCACATATCCCCCTTCTGCCAGATGTTTAACGTATCAGCCTCAATAATGAATTTTCCCTTTCCTTCTATTCCCATTCTTATAGAACACAGGTAATAAAAATTAATTGCATATAAAATGTGCTGGTGCTTGTATTTCCCAATTCAAAAAAAAAAATTGGAATGTATCCTTAACATTTACTAAGATTTTTGTAAATGTGACTTTGCAAAAGGCTATTCTTAGGAAATTCTGGTTCAAAAAAATCAAAAATTTTGAAAACTGTGTTGTTTGTGACAAATAAAATAAGCAAATAAAATACTACCTAATTATGCCAGTTGCAATAATTTTGGTAATTTATTTTAAAATGCCTGTCAGCAGGTATGTCTGTAATAATATAGAAAACAAAAAAGATTCAGGAAATATTTTTTGACAGATTCCTTAATAGGACTTTGAGTAATAATTCATTTAAACTATACTACAGAAATTTATTTCTGACACTCCTCAGAAGTAGTGCAAATGCTCTGGAGAGTTAGGGTAGTGAAGGAACTTCAGGAGAGGGAAGTAGTTGCTGGGAAGGTGCCTGAGAATGAATCAGAAAAGTAGTTTGAGGTGGGCTAGTGAAGTAACAGATTTTTGAGGGGCGGAGAATGAGTGTTTGGGAAGAGTCTCCCCTATGCAAATCTTCACTGACCCATAGCCTCTCCCATTCAATCAGGCAATATTCAATATTTACCTTCATCCCCATGTGATCTTGTATCTCCACTCATCCAGCTAAGCATAACTGAACCTATCCCCATATGTCCTTGCACTCCTATTTCCATTCAACTCCAGCTCAGTGTGGTCACCTCACTATCCCCTGTTCTCCTACAACAGTCTGTACCCCCACTAACTTTTCTGAACCTCATTCTGTGTGACCTACCCCCAGCAACCACTACTGCCCCACTGTGTTTGTTCCTTCTATATCCCATATCTCCTCATCTGGTCCTGTGGTCAGGGCACTGTGAGGAATGCAGCCTCTGCAACCTCCCTCTCTGTGCTTGGCTGCTCTGGCCCATGAGCAAGTGCTCTGGTGCCACATTAGTCCCACATTAGCCCCTGGTTGGTAAAAGGTGTAATTGCAGTATGACGCCATTCATAGATTCAATTCACCTTTCATTAGAATCGATTCTTCTTCTTCGAGGAGTCCCTGTGGGTGCTCCACTGAAGGTGCTGGGTTTGCCCTGGCGCTGCAGAAACGGATATTTTTTGCTGTAGCAGTACCCGGCTGAACCGTGCATGCGCGGTATCGTCTTGTGGTGTTCGCGCCACTCTGAGTATGTGTGCAGTCCGGCTCCCGCCAGTTCCTCTCAACCACCTCAGGCTGCAGACGGAGCAACTGCCTCTCTTCAATTCTACTCTTTCACGTGAGATCCCCAACGTTTTTTCTTATCCAGTTTTAACATTCCCTGTTTATCTATTCTATATTCGTCACGATCCTTGTCTCCTAGTTTAAAAAAAAAAAAAAAGTTTTTTCCTTACCTCACAGTTGGTTCCCCTCTCATCACGTACCCGTTCTTTTTATTACAGCCCTTCTTCATTTTATATAGTTATCCCATAGTTACTAGTTAGTCCGTTCTTCATTCTTAAAAAAACAAACAAACAAAAACAGCAAACAAATTTTTTCTGGTTAATCGTTACCCCAGAACGCAAACATGCCATTGTCACCAGGGTTTAAAAAGTGTGATTCATGCCAGGAGGCGATGCCAGCTTCTGACAGGCACTCATCTTGTATCTGCTGCCTTGGGGAAGCCCACGTCCCTCAAAAATGCCTGCATTGCTCTAAATTGACAGCAAGGGCCAGACGGGACAGGGAGATGAGGCCGCGCATGCCACTATTTGATAAAGCTCTCCAGCCGCCGCGCTCGGAGGCAGCCGCCGAACACCAGTCACACAAACGCAGGGCTTCTTCACCTACCACCACTCCTCCTAAAAAATTGAAAGCATCCCCGACAAGATCCTTGTCTAATATTCCACACCCAAGCCAGGTATTTCAGGCTTTGAGAAATCGTGGCCAAAAACCTCTACCATGTCAAAAATAAAGAAGATGACTCAAGTAGCGCCATCAGTGGCACCAAGAGTATCATTGGCACTGCCTCCAGCTACGTCCTCGGCACCGCCAAATATACCAGCACCGAGAGCATCTTCGACACCAATGACATTGGCGGCACGGACACGGACACTGACGACGCTGGCACCGATGGAGCTTCCCATCCAAGCCACTGCACGGCACTGGCCATTTCAGCACCATCGGCACTGATTACTCCTGTGGACGGCACCCCTGAATCAGCGTCTACTACTCCATGGCGCCGAAACCGCTCACCATCCTTAGCCTTCTCGTGGGCACCGTCCCCATCTCCACCACCACTGAGATCTCCCAGGCCACTTCGGGAATACCAGCACTGGTCTTACTCACCTCAGGATAGGTTGCCGTCGCCCTTCTTGGCCTCTTACAGGGACGACCATCACCATTATTATAGACACTCCTCTGCCTCTCCATGCTCTTTGACGTTCCTACACCTGATCCCGATCACCACGCTCCCCCATAACCACCACTGCTGGGCAATCTCTACCAATACGATGACAGACCTTGTGATTCCCACAGCAAATACTCCCATTACTATAGATCACGGTCAAACGGCAGATCATCCTACGACTATTGCTCTTCCAGTCACTCAACTACACCAGCCCCACCCACACCAACGGGGCAGCCATCGTCACCACCCAAGTTAGCATCTGAGCCAGACGATACTCACCTCACTATTGATGATCAACCTATGGAGGTATCTCCAACCAATCACTCTTTGTCACCAGATGATGCGGTAATTCCTGGAGATAACTCTCTTCCCGACGATCCCTACCAATTCCAGAAGCTGTTTAAGAGGGTGGTGGTGACACAAGATCAAAATGTATGAACTTAAGGATAAACAGCATAAACTGCTCAAGAATTTACATCCTCAGCATAGAGGACAGCTGACATCCATACCCTTGGATGACGCTATCCTGGAGGTTGCCAAAGAAATTTGGCAAACCCCAGTCTCCGCACCACCAGTTAGCAGGAAGGCAGAAAACAAATATTTTGTGCCCCCAAAGGGCATGGAATTTCTTTTCATTCACCCCCCCA